CCCCCCCCGTCCTTACCTTGGCTTTCCTTCCGCACAGGGCTTCACCGCTCTAAAGTCCTTCCTGTCCCGCGTCAGCCACGACCTCAGCAACCCCAAATCCGCGGCCGGCAGCGGAAACAACAACGGCGACGGGTCGAGAGAGACGTCACCAGCACACAGCCCAGAAAGATCGTCATCTGCCGGTGAGCACGTTCGTGCGCGCACACGCTGATGGTGTTGAGTCTCTTCTCCTAGGAACTTCTTCAGAAGCAGGACAGTACTGTTGCCTGACTTGTTCACCACCCCTGTTGGCAGGACCCTTTGATTAGACCGCGCTATTAATAAGAGGCTTGCCAAGAGAAGGAACGTGTGGCCGTCGGTGATCGGTCCTTCGGGAACCATGCCCTGTCCTCTCGAGGCCAATGGTCTAATAGCTAAAGCATGCTGGACGTAAGAGTACGCCCCCCCCCCCCCCCCCCCCCCCCCCTCCCTTCTTCGCTCAGGTGGGAAAGACGGCAACGCCAGCAGCAGTAGGACTCCCACCACCGGCGACGGCGACGAAAGGCGGCGGCGGAGCAGCAGCGGTGCCACCAGATCAGCCACGCGAAGAAGAGGCCGGTCGGCTGCCGCGCCGTCTCCTACCGCCACCGCCGTCGCCGCCAACAGCGAAGCGGAGGTTACGGAAGGAGAGGCGGCGGTATCAACGACCCTGGCCGGCGCCGTGGCTAGCCTAAGAGACAGGGTTGGCGGCAGTGGCGGCGGCGGCGGAGGGGGTAAGAGAAGCTTGGATTCCGCTTGTCCGCCTACGCCATCGCCTCCAATCCCCGCGGGGTGGGGTGATGTTGTTGGCGGAGGTGGGGCCGGCGGAGAGAGCAGCCTTTGGCCGTTTCGTGGTCTGGGGGACTCGCCGCCGAGGTCGAGAACGAGCTCCGTCACGGGAGCTGGCGGGGGGGCGCAAGGGTTGTTTTCGAGGTGTGTTTTTTTTCGCTACGACAGGTCATGTGTGTCGGTTGGGCTAGTGTACCCGTGTTTTTTTTTTAGGCAGAGCACCTGCTGTACGCGTTGTTGTTGTTTTTTTTTGTCAAGGGTCCGGTGGCACGTGATTCACATTGCTGTTTGCTGCTCTTACCGCCTCATGCCACCAACCTCCACGGATGTTTATTTTGCAATGAACGCCCACCGCCATCCATCTCGAAACCCGGCGTCCGTCATGTTTGTTTGCGATGACCACCCACCCCCCATCATCAAAACAGCAGTCCTCCCGACGATGTGTGTTGCCGCGCTCACCCACACCCCCATTCATGACAAAACCCGACGTCCCTGTATTTTTTAGCTATGATCCCCCCCTC